TTGAAGCAAAAGCAGGAGGACAACGATGCCGATGCAGGACGGCTGGATGCTTCGGGCACCGAATTCTCGGAGTAAATATTCCTCCTGCACTGTTCGTTCGATTCCTTCCTCCGACACGGGCTACTCTCTTGCGTTATTGCTCTTGTCTCAGTGACTCCCGCGGAATCGCATGGGCCCTACGGCACGCCGAGATGGACAACGATCGGAAGCGAATCAACACCATTATGAATCGCAGGATGTACAGAGACCCCAAGAAAGCTGCACAAGGGTGAGCATCTTCCCCAACACTGGTATGTCATCTGTTCCATCAGGCCTTCATGAGAATGATACTCACATGCACTGCTGTCTATCACCGAAGCTCTTGTAGTTGCGTTCCAGAAGTTACTGATACTTGAGATTTGGTGTATGGAGTCACACTGCATCAGTGTGGTTTTTTTCTCCACTGGAGCGTGCCTTTTCTCTGTGATGAAGGTCGAACCCCCTCCGATAAAGAGAAGCACAGGTATCCAGAAAGTTCATTGCGAAATGTTGACTCGGAAAGTCGACTTGAAACTCGGGAGGCCATAGCACCTCGAGCGGCTCCTGGCTTAAAAAGAATTCCCTTGAGGTTATATCTACTTGGGCTCGTTAAATAGATGCCCCAACCTAGAATCGAACCTTAAACTTTCAGACCTTCAACCTCACGCTCTCCCAACTAAACCATTAAGAATTCGAGTATTTTGAACCGAGACCGTGATACCATCTCATCTACTGCTACCGATCCCGTCAGTTATTTCTGATGTTATCGTCAGGGAGACCAAAAGAGTTTGGCGACTTTCTTTTAGATTGGAATGGCATCCTTCTGCTTCTAGTTGCAAGACTCATTGTCTATCGTATCCGCAACTATACTATATGCCCAATGAAATACCCTACACTCGATTAAAAGGAGCAACACGGTAGAGCTTAGACTCTCAGAGGGGTGAATATCATTGAATGCCACTACAACTCAAATCTACTCTCATAATGGAACAGGCCAAAATATACACACTCCACTAGAAAAAGTAACACTCCCGTGCAGTGGACCGCGACCTTCCGAACATTATTTGACTTGAAGTCAAAATCGGGGAGGCCGGTATAATTACAAACTATATGAGAGGCAATGGGCCCAGCCAAGCTTCCAGTGGACTCTAATAGAGCTGTGCAGAATGCACCGAATACGCCGGTGTAACTCACAGTAACACAAGCTAGAAGGATGCCTCGAACAGGATTCGCCAGTATCTCCTTAGTGAAGTGATGGACGTGTGCTAGTGTGAAGAAAACGGGACCACAGAGGACGAGGCGCCACGGGAACGATATGGAAGCCTCTTGCAACAGAGCATCGCAGCAACCGCGGAAAACGAACTCCTCGGTCACTGGAGCAATAATGAGAGCTCGGGCCACTTGCCACTTATTGAGATTCCCTAAGCTATTTCCACCATACATGAGGGGACCCGCCATCAAAGTAAGCGTCAAAATAAGGCCGACCGCAGCCGATTTGAGAGCAGTTGAAGGATGTATAAGAAGGTCTAATACTTGTATACGATGGTCAGTTACGGAGCTAACGATGAAATAGCTGATGAGAGAGGCCGATACAACGGACAAGGATCGTAATTGGATGACGTCGGTGCGATCTCGTGTCTTGGGGTTGAGGACGTCGGAGTGGAGCCCTAGTAAGGGCCAGATATATAAAAGGCCAACGAAGAGGCCGCTGCATACGGAGCAGTAGAGAACGGCAGTCGTTACGGCCAACATGATAAGTAATCGGAAGCTGAGTTCACTTGAATGTCCTCCTTAACAGCGTGGCACGGTGAAGTGACCGAATATGACGAGTGAGGGAGCGTCAAATGATGTTGGACTGTCGTAGAGCTCCGTAATATACCGACATAGCGGAGGTCTAGAATTCGAAAGTGCTCCAGATCAAGTGCAGTCGCGCGCGCCATTGTGATCGATTAATCATCGTGCTACCTCCCGTAGACTTCCTGTGCATAACTCGATTATGGGTAAGCTGACATTCATCGGTCTAGGGCTAGGTGACCCGAAAGACATCTCCCTCAAAGGTAGTGCCAGCGTTGACTGTTTGTAAGACGTACTTGGTCATGTAGGGCTGGAAGCACTGCGGGAGGCCGACTACGTTTACTTGGAGAGCTACACTAGCATCTTGGTCGGCCAAAAGCCTGATGACTTACGAAAAGCGTAGCAACCGTTTGTTCTGTCGTTGCGGCCCAGCTAAAGTGACAGATACGGTATCGATGTGCCCTTCATAGAGGCCGATCGCCATCTAGTTGAAGGCGGCTGTGAGGAAATGCTGCAAAGGGTAGCTCTACGTGGTAGAAAGTAACAATGGTTTAACCTGGTGCTCTATAGGCTACCGAAAACAACGTATGCTTTTGTGTTGTTGGAGATGCGTTGTGTGCGACTACGCATACGGACCTGTTCTTGCGAGCTAGAGCTAGGAACATCGAGGTTGGTATTTCACTATGTGTATCGCAGCATATGTTAACTCAGGTGTCGGTAGTTCATAATGCCAGTATTATGAACGCTATAGCTTGCTGTGGGCTCCATCTGTAGTAAACGGGAGGAGGATAATAGTGAATGCTCAGATT